GTTGTCGCAATTATTTTGATATTATATAGGACAAGAATTATGATTATAATCAATTCTCTGCACACAAAAAATGTCTAAATTGGCAGCCATTTTGAATTTATGCAAATTAAGACACTCAATTAGGCACATAAAACCTTGCGCAAACAAAAACATTCTTGAAAATAACATTTTAGGTATTCAAAGTACACTAAAAGTATTCTAAAAGGTATGTAAGGTGAACATTTTGACTAGATCAAGGAGAAAACAGGAGAATTGCCGGCCATTTTGTATTTATGTAAATTAGACACTCTTCAACTACACGGATTTTTTCGGACTTTTAGTATGTCATTTTGGGGACCTTACTTAAATGCATTGCAGTGAACTTATTTTATTGCAATTTGTTTGACCTCAAAACACAATATTCCTAGTCTATATGACGTTTGGCCATTTATTCCAGAAAAAACATCGACTACATACGGCGCATACACACAGAAACAATCGTCGTCTTTGATTGCTACAGCTCTGGCCCTGACACTAAAGATGGAATCGACCTTCGACGCGATCGAGGAATCGTCGGAACCAAAGTAAATGTTAATGAGAAAACTCTATTCTGGTCAAAGACAGACGATTTCTTGGCAAACAGTGAAAATAAGCAGAACTTCATTAATATGCTGAGTGCTAAAAATAGTTGAAAGAGGCATGGAGACAAAACACGCGAACACAGATGCCGACGTCATGATTGCACAGACACCGGCTTCATCTGCAACGTCAAAGCCCACCGTACTACTTGGCGAGGACACAGATTTGTTGCTATTCTTGTTGTACCATGCGGACGTTACTGCACGACAGCTCATTTTCAAATCGAATCATTCACAAAATGACAAATTGAAGGTATAGGACATCGATAAAACGCAGAGTGTACTTCGCAATGGCATGTGCCAGATACTCCCCGTGATACACGCCATAAGTGGTTGTGATACTACCTCGATATTATTTGACGTGGGAAAGGCTGCAACTCTAAAAGAAACTGTGGGAAGCGACGTCTTAAAAACCCAAGCTAGTGTGTTTCTCTCTTCAAGCTCTACTTCAGAGTATGTCATAGCTTCTGGAGAAGGTATTATCAGTACTTTGTACAACGCTTTGCCAAACGAAAATCGGGATGCTTTAAGATACAGATAGTTTGTAAATCGGGTCATGACGAACAAAACATTCCTACAGATACACACCATTCCTCCAACTTCTGCGGCCGTAGCATACCTTAGTTTGAGAACATACTTACAAGTACAAACATGGATAACAGAAATAGAAACCAAGAGAATGGGGATGGATGCTCTCTGAAAAGAAACTTATGCCCATCACGACCAACAAAGCTGCTGCACCTGAGTGTCTTCTACGCATCATCCGATGTCAGTGTAAAACTAATTGTGATAATAAGAGATGCACCTGTAGAAAACATGGATTGAAGTGCTCCAGCAGTTGTTCAAAATCATCAAAACAAGTGGCTGAGGAAATAGAAGATTATTGAATCAATGAATGGCTGGCTGATGTTATATCATTAGTAAAACAGTGATAGCAGAGACATGCCCCTTACGATTATCATTCTTGAACAATCACGCATATTAATCTTTATCTTCACAGTTTAGTTTTCTTTGGGGACATTTTACTGATATATCGTAAATTGTATTCCCTCTCCCTACTATAAGGTTACGACTTACGACGTGATTTAAGACTTACAACCAACGGTAGAAGGGTCCCAGTATGGCCACTGCATAGATACATAGCTTTGGACCCTTTATCAAACGTGTATCGTTAAAACCTTTGTTAAAATTTGTGTTTTCTTTGCAAAGAGAGAGGGGAAAAAATGTCAGAAGGAAAATTGCTACTTGTTGGTCAACTCGCCCACAAAATTGTACCATGTAAAATAATAGTCCTCTGAGTTAAATGGTCTAATGTTAAGAATAGATGTACTGTTTATACATTGAATTAGCCAGAGTGATAAATTATTACGACAAAGCCGTAAATTCTCCACTGGAATGCTAACAAAATGAAGTCGCATTTCATTTGAATTGGTCAACTCGCCCACGTATACTCGTGGAACGATATGCTTTATTCATTGAAAATGACTGGTGACAGTTTTTTGACGAATTGTTTCTGAAATGATCCCAATTGCGGTGAAATAAATCATAAGAAGGTGAAACACATGTTTACTAGTTTTCATCGGTTTTTATTGAGATACTTGAGTTGGAGGCCCTAATTTTTCAATTTCCCTTTCATTTCTAGATGTCGATTTTCAGTAGTCATTGGTGATATAAAATAGATGAACCGTTTCTATTGCAATTTGTTTGAGTTCGGGCATTTTTGGAGTTAGATGACTAGACTACTAGGGAAAGACAAGTGCTGCTGCTGTGTAAACGTCATGCAGCGTTACGTTACCTTGATCGCGTCATCATTTTTGTCACACACTTATTCGTCCGTGATGATGGCGTGGTGCATTTGGTTTACAATTCCAATATATGTGTACGGTAGGAAAATGGACTTGGGAGAAGAGTTAATAAAAAATCCTCGTGTTCGACTTCAAAACTATTACCCTCATGTTGAACGTTCTGTACCTACATCATACATAACTGATAAGAGTCTTCTCACTTGCCTTAATACATGAAACATGCCAAATCTTAACCGAAAACCCTTTGTATCACAGCAATAAATCAAATCAAATACTTAAAATGTCACTAGTCATATATCACCTTGCCTGGTGGCATATTCAAAGTTGCAGTTTTGTCGCCGATAAAGTGTATTTGATATAATATACAAAATACACCTTCAGTGAATAGTCCACGTTCCATGGGAAGCTTTCTAGGCTGGTTGTAAATTATACAAGGAGCCCAATGACACTCAAGGTCACACGTGTCATAAGACAGTTTTAGACGATAACTTTAAATCAGCACGTAAGCAAAGAACATCGATTACTTGTCAGGCTACAAAAAATATTCAAATCAATTATTTTGGTATTGTAATGGAAATGTTTTTTCTTCATTTAGCCAATTTATAAGGAAGCCTTCAAACTAGTTGGTAATTTATACATCATAATTTTCTCATACACTTCACTTCCGATTCGCCAGGAGGATATGTAAATACAGAAAAAGCTCAACCCAGGGAGCCAGACTTTTCAGAATCTTACCCCAAGGATTGAGATTTTCTTTCTTACTCATAAAGTAAGGGATGGCTATTTTTCTCTAACATCACATACAGGTGGAAATTTCATTAAATGCAAAGGTAAGTGTCATAATTGCCTGCAAATATGAGTTATATTTCGTGATCTTCTATTGTTGACGTGACGTCATAGTTAGTATGATACCCAGCGATATATTTCCATGACCAGTAGTGTGGATATCAACTTGGGAGTTGGGGTAAATAAAAAATCCCCGTGTTAGACTTCAAAAATATTACCCTCTTGTTGAGATTCCTGTACCTACGTCACACATAACCGAAAATAGTGTATCCTTACATGATACATGAAAAATTTGAACCGAAAGCCCTTTGTTACACAGCAATTAATCAAATAAAAAATAAATTAAAAAAAAATAGCCATAAATGATCGTAAATATTCGAATGTGCAGTTTAGTCACTGCCGAGGTAGAAAATACCAAAGCGAATAGCGTATTTAAGATGAGTGTTTGGTAAATCAACCAATAAAGTAATTTATATTTTATACAAAATACACCTGCAGTGAATAGTCCACGTTCCACGGACGTTCACGGTCACCTGTGTCGTAATACAGTTTTCATTGTTTAGACGATAACTTTAAATCAGCACGTAAGCAAAGACATAATCGATTACATGTCGGGCCACAAAAATATTCAAATCAATTGTTTTGGTATTAAATAGGGATTTTTTTCTTCATTTAGCCAATTTATCCCCTTTTGCTTTGACAATTAAAGTTATCTTAATCTCCTTCCTAAGTGAAAACAGATGATTGGGGATAATGGAATTTACAATTTACAATCTAAATGAAACTCATTTCCCTGTATGAAGATACTCGATTCTGATACATCAGAGGATAATTTCGAAAATTAAACCAAATTTCCCCCTTGGCAGGATAGAATTGTTTTCTTACAATCGCATCATAATAATTATCCGACAAACGTTGGAATTATTTTCTGCCGAAAATGCATGAAATATATCCTGCATTGTTATTTCCCTGTATAAAATATAGCTAACTTCACCCTCTTCCAAAAGGAAAACGGATGACTTCGAGGGAATACAAGTTACAGTTTAGATAAAATACACAAGGACCATTAAAGATTATAAGATTCTTGTAAATATGGTCAGGAGATAAATAATTTAGCAATCTCCCACCAAGGAGGATTCTTACCAAGTATGAGGAAGTTAAAAATGTATAAAGTTTTACGTATTCGGCAGTGGATAGGTTTTGGTTTGATTTTGTTTATCATCCTTTTACAGCTGAGGCCGTGCCCCAATGTGTGTAATGAATACGTGCTTTTGTGTATGTGTGCTGGATGAAGGGAATGTTGATGTACATGTATTTGCAAATATGAAACCGCCATTAGAGTGCTGCGTAACAAAAATACCATGCCGAAGGCAGTCGACATAGTGTTCCACCAGGTCACTTATACTGACAACGGGTAAACCGTCCGTTGCGATAACCCCCGCAGCAGTACGCAAACTACTGCGAATAATCACCTGGGTTCCTTAACAGTTTATTCATCAAGACATTGAGTTGTTAACAAACACCACAACCTCAACGATGAAAAATAGCAACCTTGTATGTGTCTTTGGACATGGTGTATATTAGCATAACACATTTTTTCCAGAAGTCATCTGATTCTTGATGACACTTGGGTATTTCCTACATAAGTCATTATCAACATAAAACACTGACTACAAACTATCATTGGAAAAAGTACAAGAAACATATATGGTATTGCTGAAGACACTGTAAGATATCCATTACTTATGTTTAATTGTTTCATAAAGTTATTGATTCATAAAATATCTTCTAATTAGTAGAGTAACACCTTCCCCACTGAAAAAAACCCTGCAACATCAATGTTTATATTTAATGTCCGCATCATTTCTGAGGGAATCAGAAAGTAGCATTAAATGCTTCCGAAAAAAATATGAGGAAAACAATCGCAATCGCTACACAGAATTATGCCAATGTGAAATAAGTTAAATAAATATAAGCCAGGAAGTGAAGTAACAGTACCGACTCAGGATAAGATGTGTCAATAGAAAAGGAGTATAGCTGCTATCAAAATGGGAGAAAAAAAAATAAACACAAAACTGAATGTTGGCACAAATCGGTCGAGAATTTTTCATATAACACAAGACGTAAGCAAACACATTTGTAATATAGTACTAGGCCAGTACGTACCGGGATGTGACGGGCACTTGACGCCTACTGAAGTGTTGCCTGTTGTGGAACGCAACCTGGTGGACTTACATTCTGACAGAGATGTTTCATTACCATTACAATGGAATTGAAACTCCCAAACAGGGCGTGAAAGGGTATGCAGCACGGAGCCGAAAGTTGCTGTCGCTTTCGCTCTGTAAATAAAATAGCACAACTTTATTATTCTGATATTATTTGTCAATGCTTTGTTTAATCTGTTTTATAGTATGTTAAACCCTAACAAACAAGATTAAACCAAACTACAAGCGTCTCGATGAGGGATTTTCTAGTAGGTGAGGTCAATTTATGGATAATACCAAATAGACAAATTTATTTTAAGCTTTGTCTAGGATATAACGATGACATATCACATCATCGTTATTCATAGAAATAATGCTCGACAACTGACTTTGTTTCTTATATTCAATATTTTGTGTAGTGACAGTACCATATGTAGGTGTGGCCCCTGAAATAGTTTTGCGTTTCGGACCTTGTTAAGGGAGTGTGCCCCTTTACTTAAACATATTGACAAAACTCTGTCCGGACATGCATTCGCGCATTGTTTTGATAAATTTCTTCGAATTGTTTTGTCTATATGCTGTTGTTTCCTCTGAAATAATTTTGCGTTTCGGATCATTTGAAAATATAAATAACAAAACTTTGTCCGGCTATGCGTTTAATAATTTTTTTAAAGATTTCTTTGAAACTTTTTGTGTAGTGGCAATACCATGCAGAGGTGCCAACTCCTCACCTCCTCTTTTGGCCTAATCCGTAAGACTTTAACATAAAACTACACTTTGAAATTTTGGCTATCTACTGTATGATTTTGTCTTATTTCTGCTTATTCTGAAAATGTCTGCCCATTTCTGCATTTGTTTTATTATACTATGAGTAAGCCTCGAAACTGAAGCGTATATGTGACTATGTTCACAGCCTCGAACCTGAAGCGTATATGTGACTATGTTCACACTTTCTCTTTCTTTAGAGTCCTTTGGCGGGAAAATGTGCTCACTACGAGAGATAAAATTGATAGGTCAGGTAGCCCACATCATAAAATCAAAAAGCAATGGAATCAAACATTTAAACCAGGGCCCACATAAGTCGCCTCTTACGATCATGCCGCGGGATACATTGCGTTCGGTAACTGGTTATATATGATATAAATAGAACGGAGAACAAACAACTTACACAAAAAAATGTCACACAGTATCAGATCCTTAAGTCAAAGTTACTTACCCAGAATACCCCAGCATACGACACGTCACTTCCGCATTATTGTCGTTCCATCCTCGTTGGTGGAAAATAAACCAGGACAAACCATCCGATAACTCTATTGTTCCTTCATACGAGTTTGGTCCGTACAGATTGATGTAATACTTCTGACCTGTCGACAATAACAACAGTGATTTGCTTGTCAAATGTGATGTGCAACATTCTATTATTGGTAATTTCAAGAAACCGTTCTACAAATGCATATATGGCATGGTACAAATACGCTAGTGTTGATGTAACACTTGTTACTTGGACAAAATTGTTACCATATATCTCAGTGTTAACAATTGTACTTCGTTAGTGTTCATCAGCGTTCCACCTAGTCACTCATTCAGTTAAACGATATTAGTCCCAAGACGCAAAACAACTTTTTATTATTATTTTTTTTATGTATTTGGCAACAACGGAATTAATAAATGAAAATTTGAAAAAAAAATCTATGTTCGAAAAGAAGAGTGTGCTTCATCTTTTCAATGCTGGAATTGTTTTTACTCCATTATATTAGCGTAAACCTATGTCATTTTTTACACTTTATTAGTATGTGTGTATATTGAACTAATGGTTTTTAATGATACTATATATGAATGCATTTTTTTGCAATCTGTGATAAATTCTAATATGTATCTGTGATAAATGTATCATAAATCTTAACCCTAACCCTAACCCAACCATGTATTTCAACACCTACCATGTTGTACTAAGAAGAGGACCTTGTGGTAGATTAGCTTCAGCTTAAACGATTCTGTTATCCTCATATAACAAAGTTTATTAATTTTTGTTATCATTTTATATCAAGCATATTTTTCAATATCTGGTGCTGATGAGGGTAGTAGCCTTCCAGAAGACTTAAAAAAACTTGCAGATTTCCATTCTTTTAGAAACAAACCTATAGATCATTTATAGCATATATTTTATGTTTATTAGGTTTTTTAAAAAACATTGACGAACGACAGTGCTTGTGCATTCTGTGAAGACATTAGTTAATATGAATATTTGATATTTTACATATTGTTATATGTTATTGTACTTATTGATATCTGTACCTATACTCTAACCATCTTTCTTGTTTATTTACTGTAAAGATAACGTTGTATATCAGTGTTCGGTTAAAAAAAAAACATAACAATGGGAAATATAAATCATTGGACCTTATCTCATAATGGAGGTGGGCGCATGGAAAGATTGACTGTAATATATAACCTCAAGAAATTTGTAAAATTAGCATAATAAACAAGGCAATCATGAAAAAACATTGGACCATGGGCAGAATGATATGAACTAATGAAATCGAGATAGTTCCACGTGACATTTTATATATATATGATATATAATGTTTAATGAGTTGAAACGAAATTGTCAAAACTCTCACCAGCTTAGAGACAACTTATCCTAACTTTTATCTGTAAATTATAATACTGCATCTGTACAGATTCCAACCGATGACCTTAGGAAGGGGGACACACACATGTAAAGTATCAGGTATTATAAAAAACAGATTTTCAAATTTTAGCAAACAGTTTTTTTTAACAATGAGAGAATGGAAATTTCCCGTCGTTTTACTTACCCGACACAGTCGTCCAAGTAATTAAGTGTAGAAACATCACAAAGTGAGACCATCTCAGAAAGGTATCCATGTCGAACACAATATTATTTCCTTACGTGATTTCACTTATATCCTCGCGAGCTATTTTTAGTCCGTAACGGAATGACATCACATTTCATAAGTTGTAAAAAAATATGGAATATAGACGACAACACAAGTTATTAATCAAACCTAACACGCTGACGTCAAACCTGCATGTAGTGTTTTATGGGTGGACATAACTAATTTCAAAGTGATTTATCGAGGCCTTTACGTGAATATTCTCTTCACATTTATACTGTTTATGGGCCTTACAGTGGAGGGTGTCGCACAAGTACAATTTGTATTTTACTGTGTAAAGTGTTCCAGGTAAGCACTTAACCAATGAGTAATTGTATCATACTTTTGATAGTTAATAGGTAGGACTACTCAGTGTTAAATTTCAACCGGTATTATAACCGTAACTGCAGTTTTATTTGTTTGACTTGCTAGTGTTTGTGGATGTGATTTCACTAAAGAAAAACAATGCATACTGTATACTGTTTGATTTCTTGTTCTGTATTGTACATACATCAAACCTCCTGGTTTACGTTGTATTTATATGCATTGACCTAATCATCAAAATTTTTCGAACATCATTTGACTTTCATGCACTTTGTCTGCCTAAGTCTACCTGGCCTGCGATATTTATAGCCATATTGTTCAAAGGATATATTGCAGGTCCAAACATTTAAGTACCAATACCTGGACCAAGCATCACATATTTGTGTAATGTTGACAGTTTCTTACAAAGCGGTGTTGGTACTCAGTTTCCTATATAAAGGGGTCCCTGCAGTATTCATTTGAAGCCTTGTCATTCAATCTTCATTTTCTCTAGGTTTAGGTTTTGATGGGTTTTTTACACGTTTTTTTTTAATTTTCCAGAACATTTCCCACATACCTAATATATGCGATATATGCACATGAACGTTTGGTATTAATCTGCTAATATCTGTCTATGAAAGTGTATGTATATGCTGAAAATAATGCATTTGTACCTGTACTTTAATGTGTGTGTAAGTGTGTATGAGTTGTGTGAGATGTTTCCTTCATGAGTTACTTCCCCTTAGCCTTTTGTTATTATGATTTTTTTTGTGTTCAATTTTCCATTTCTATCTTGTCTGAAATGTTATATCCCGTTGTTTATTCCACTCAGTTTATGTACTTTATATAGTCTTTGCCTGTTATTCTATCCATTTGACTATACAGTATTGTCAATAAAATTTGATGAAATTAAATTGCTCACATATAGATAACTGCCAGGTTGTGGTTCCTGGGGTCAGTCCCCGTATAATAGATTGTCAAATCGCCAGAGGAGCTTCAATCAATGCTCTGTTCCATTGGTCTGGTTTTACTTTATTTTAGTCCCAATAACAGCTTATCTCCTTTCAAGACGTGCCTCCATGTCTGTTGTGTATGCGTTTCCATGACTCACACTAACTTCATGAGACACATATGCTAACTTCAATGACACATGCATACATATAGGATCTTACATTAACTCATGCATGCACATACCGGATCTTAAATGAACTCATAAATACAGGATTTTACATTAATTCATTCATACAGGATCATACATTAACTGATACATACAAGACCTTACACTAATTCATACATACAAGATCTTATATTAACACATACATAAAGGATCTTACACTAACTCACACATTCAGGATCTTACACTTATTCATACATACATAATCTTACATTAACTAATACATACATGATCTTACACTAATTCATACAAACATGATCTTACATTAATTCAGACATACCGGATATTTCATTAACTCATACATACACGATCTTACATAAGTTCATACATAAAGGATCTTAAACTAATTAATATTTACAGGATATTACACTAATTCATACATACATAATCTTACATTAACAAATACAAACAAGATTTTACACTATTTCATACATACAGGATCTTATATTAACACAAACATAAAGGATCTTACACTTACTCACACATTCAGGATCTTACACTTATTCATACATACATAATCTTACATTAACAAATACAAACAAGATTTTACACTATTTCGTACATACAGGATCTTATATTAACACAAACATAAAGGATCTTACACTTACTCACACATTCAGGATCTTACACTTATTCATACATACAGGATATGTGTGCCGGAGACAGAGTGTGTTGTAATAATTCATGCAAACAGGATCTTACACTAACTGACACATACAGGATCTTACACTAACTGACACATACAGGATCTTACACTAACTCACACATACAGGATCTTACACTTACTCACACATACAGGATCTTATATTAACTCACACATACAAGATCTTACATAAATTCATACATAAAGGATCTTACACTAATTAATACATACAAGATCTTACATGAATTCATACATACATGATCTTATATTTACACATACATACAGAATCTTATATTTACACATACATAAAGGATCTTACACTTACTCACACATTCATGATCTTACACTTATTCATACATACAGGATATGTGTGCCGGAGACAGAGTATGTTGGTGTATTTGCCTCCTTGTAATAGCGCAGATCTGATGCCTACTTTATAGTTCAATCTCACGGAAGTACCATGCCGAAGGTCATTTTACATGCATGAGTGCAGGCCTTACAGGGAGTTAAAAGACTGTTCGTTAAAAAATTCTAAGAAAACATCCAGGAAATGATGCCTCCAGTACCCGATCATATCGTGTGGTGTTACGGAGAATATCAGATTCTTTATGCGTTCGTAGAAAGTGTCGTTTTTCTCGAAGGTTTACCTACTTCAGATCGTTTGGACACTTCTCTATAACACTTGATCATCATAGACAATTTAATGACAAATGTAAACACAACAGTAACGTCGTTATTTACACAGAAAAGTCATCACAAAAATATCAGCGTAATGTATATCGTTCAAAAACAGAAACATGCCCATTACATCGTTATGATGAAAGAACCCTAGAGATGCTTCAAAAAGCAGACGTTTCTCTCCGGGGGCAGGTACGCTTCTGAGCTATCAATTGTAAAATGTCGTCATTTCTTGAAAACCACTGTAAAGACCTGCAGTATAGTGTGTCAACGTAAACAGTGTCCGAGTAGAATAATCATCGCAAAGACAGAGAAAGGTTTAATCTATTGCACCTATGGGTGTGTAAACAACATTATATGTACATGTCTCCCTTCTTCAGCTAAGTAAACGCTGACTGCGTATAAATAGGCATATACGCAGTGAAAAAAGGCTCGGCGGATTTATACTTACGAACATATTCTTATTGGAGCGCTAACGCGCACCATAGAATATGTTCGTTGCCAACTGCGTTTATACTACCGTATACGCCGTCAAAATGAAGGTCAATCCTTAAGGGCATGTCGAATAATAATCACATAATCATCAAGGCCGGGAAAGATTTAATTTAATGTATTTGTGAGTGTGTTCAAAACATTGTACACCGCAAAGGCCGATAAATGTTTAATTCATTGTATTTGTGAGTGTGTTTAAAACATCTTACAAAGTAACTTGCCTTTGACGAAACAACAAAAGAAACGATTTTCACTTCATAAAACCAATATTCGTTAATTAGTCAAGAGTGTACCGTTAAAGACAGCAGAGACAATCAATCAAAGAGGAGGCTTTGTAGCGTGTCACTATGTTAAAACAACCCAAAAAGATCTATATATATCTTTATTTCTTGCAATAGACATCATTGCCTTTGTGATACATACATCCACAATATTTACAACCTGTTTGCGGTAAAAAGCGAATTCTGACAAGTTTACAACAGGAAGCGTTAATTCAATCTGTACATTGTAAAAATAATCTGTAATTATATCTATTTCACAGGATAACAACAGCATTTAAAGAAGTGTTACATTATTATGAGCGAAGGATACACTGCCATATTTTAATGTTATTTTAATAAAATATTATTACTATTATTATTTGTATTTTCTTTTGCTTTACAAATATACCTTGATAAATTCTGAAGTATAGTTTTGTTCTTCGATGAAATAAATTCTATTAATTAGTCCATATTTGGTCAGATAAAGTATCTCCTGTATTGATTTGTTGACATAATTTCAGAGTATAATGGGCATCCCATAATGCAATGGTATTCATCCTCAACTTGAGCACATATGATACAGAACCGCAAATCTGGTGGCATGGAATTAGGTTTATGCCATCTTCCCGCTTCCATATCTAATCTATGTGAAGATATACAAGTTAAACATGTTTGAAACTTTTTTATATCAACCAAATCAAGATAATTCTTTTTACCGAATTCGTGTGAAAATAGTACATAACATCTGGCTCTGGACGATTTGACAAGTTAACTTTGCCAATCTTGTATAAAAATGTCTCCAACTCTTGTTTGAAACAATAAAAAATGTCACCAACTCCCTGTTCAAGCCATACACAACCAAAACCATGAGTACATAATCAGTTTTAGTTCACTTAGCCCAATCCATCATACGTGAAGTCTCCGCTAGTGAGTTCAGCTCACTATTGATAGACTTAACATGTACACTTTTCTGGCTGGAACAATGTTTAACCAATATTTGTTATTTTTGTATATCTTGTATACTCTTTTTCTAACTACGTTTTTCCTAGTGTTTTGCTTGGCAATACCTCACGTTTGGCTTTAATGTTGAGCCTTTGCCCAGGTGGGAAGGCAATGGGTTTTGTCTCCAGGCCGGGACATACCAAAGTCCTTTAAATGGTACTTATTCCCTGCTAAACGTTCAGCATTTCGGGTAATGGCAATATACTGGTTCACCCGTTGTCAGTATAATGTGACCCGCAGAATTGCTGTACTGGTTGCTTTCGGCATAATATTTCAGTGGGATAGCACTATACAGTCGGCATCAGATCCGCGCTGTCACAAGGAGCCAATTACACCAACAAATCCTGTCTCCAGCACACATACCACATGCACACTTACAGATCACACATGGAGGTACGTCCTTAAATGACCTAAGCTAATAATAGGACGTTAAAGAAAATTAAACCAAACCAGCGTACATCGGAGTTTCGCATAAATGAAATTAGTTTGGGTAGACGACTTTACCCCTTACAAACGATAACAAAAAGTGTATTAAATCCATTAATCATTGTATGTTAGTATCTTATTTTTCAAACTCAATCTAATCTGGGGCATTTCAATTAATGACCTCCGCATGTAAGCGAAAGCTTAAAATATTTATTTATTTTTCCACTTTTTACCAATTGGGTCGCACCTGACAGGAAAACATTATATCAGTCCCATATGTGAAAACATGAGAAGAGTATTATATATATTAATTAATGTGTGTTAATTAATTAATCATCAAACTCACTTCAACCTGGGGACATTCCCATTTATAATATGCGCTAATAAGCTACACAATATATTCTTTTTAATATTTACAGTATCAGTGACATAGGAAAGGAAATATGATCTTGAAATATGATGATGGATACGGTTTGACGGCAACTCAAAACTGTACCATTAACTTTTAAACAATACGTCTTTACACTGCCATCTGTTCACTTTTGAGCTTTTGGCATTATAACGAATCTGGGGAAACCTCTTACAAAAACGTTCCAAAATGTGCGGTCATTTCAGCAATTATATTCGAACGACACGTTGATCAATATATGGCCCCCGTGATCTTATACCTAATGTGCAAAGGTAATTGCGTACTGTCCTTTGAATCAGAACGATGACGCTATACTGTTTTCCCCTCAGGAAGCGGATTGAGAAATCATATTTGTATCGTCACACGTCAGCAACCGCTTTGGAGATGATCTACAACTTTTTCCTAAGACAACAGGGAAACGATATGGTTAGACAGTAGAAGGTAGGGGATACAGGGTAGAGGTCAGAAGATACGAGAATACGGTACATTAACTTATATTATAGATGTGCTTTGTAACTAGGTACTATACATACTAGTATAGGGAGTGTTGGTCTACACTACTAGCCAATACAAAATACAACAACATAAGCATGGCCCCTTGTCCACATCCGCTTCCAGTACATATTCTAGGAAAACCCGTTTGCAATTTCATTATATCTGTAAAATGAAAAACGGAAACCATTGTTCATATAAACATAAGTACGTATACTCTGTGTGTGTGTATAAAGCAACCAGATATCAACAGGCACGTCATAATAGATTCAGCGTGTACGGAGATAGGATGTTAAACTTGTGTAATACCAGAACATTAATCTCTTCATGCTGATGTAACACAGCGCTGAATTTATATCGGTATCTATACAAAAGTTTGAATGTACATTCTTGTACACATTGAAGAATGTTGAAAAGTTCATAGCTGATTAAAGACGGTGTGGAATTCTAATTTGAGATGACCTAATATTTTCGGAATACGCTGTGATGAACTAACACATCGTATACATATCATCCCGACAGCATCAACCGTGATGAGAACAGTCCACTTCTCCATTCTCTGGACCCTTCAAGGTGTATTCCTAATTCTCCCGACATCCCACATCAAACCAAGGAGATTCCTTTGATAAGAACATTTCTGGTAAGATTTTAACATATTTTAGTTATCTATTATGTTTCAGTGGACCGGAGGGGACTCTTCTGCCACGATTTCTCACGCGTGCACGATATATCAATCGGGCGATAAACCGTGCTAAGTTTGAAGCCGTACAACACGATTTCTCACCCCTGTACAGTTTATTAACTGGTTGAAAGCCGTGCTAAATTTGCTGAGTTTGCACCACGAGTTCACACCCTGCACGAATTCTCACCTGGGGTGAAATCCTGTTCGGGATAGACAAATTACTGGTTGTCATGTACGAACACTGATTATTAGTCCGAGAGATTGTGGTATATACATGTGAAGGCTTACTTATACATTTCCAAGGTTTTCAAGATTTATTTATACACTCATGACACATAAGGTGGGTTACAAGAGGTCAACATCCAGCATAGCAAGTTTCCAGATTGCAGGCGAAATATTCGTATAGCCTGCTTTTATATCCTTAACCGAAATCACATGTTTATCATTGGATAAAGTTACCGCCTTACACTTTGTCCTGATTGATCGATATAAAATGTTGTCAGGTTTGTTAAACTTTTATATCATTTAAGCAAAGAGGCACTCGCCACACAACACACACCACACAGGCACACACCACACGGACACACATCATACGGGCACACACCATACAGGCACACACCACATAGGCACACATAACATGCACACGCAACACGAGCACAAACCACACAGGAAAACACCAGGCAGGCACACACCACCCGCGCGAACACCATCTCACATTTATTCACACCTAATCCAGTTGAACTAAAACGTAGGGCACACAGTGATTTTACCAACAAAGAAGAAACGAAGAGACTCTCACTTTATTTAATGTTGGTGCTTTTCCTAGGGATGTTCTCCTATGAGAAGACAAACATTCCCTGCATTAATTTTGGTTTTACTTATGTGCATTTTGGAAAAAAGGAGTTAATTGCAAAGTAGATAATTTAAAAAAATAAAAGTATATGCCGAACGATTAAATAAAGAAACAATCCCTACCTTTAATGTTTGCACTTTATTTTTAATCAAAATAATTAATTCTGGGTTAAAACTATGGGAAATTATATGTCGAACAACGATAAAATAAAGAAGCTATGCTTCCCTTTAATAATATTACTTTTTTTATTTAGAAGAATTAATTTGGGTTGAAATTATGTGACCTTAACTAGACAGAACATTGTATGGCTTCGATTTCATGTAGACTTGTACAATTAAAAACAGTACACATGTAACTTTAGTATTAAAAACATATTGTGCTAGCAGGAAACATTATTGCACTATTTGTAACATAGTCCTATAAATATATATTTGCTTTTTGTTTATAATGTTGTTTTAACAGAAACTTAGTTTAATGATTTTTCCTTTTCGCTTCGAGTGATATATAATCTATATATATATAAGAGTGTGTATTTAACTATGCATTTATTTCTAAAAGTCTGTATATCAAATTTATATCTAAAGGAACTAGTTTATATATATCTTAAAAAAATCTGCAAACTGTAAATAAAGATATAAAAAGAGACATTAAATTTGAAGGAAAATACCGTAAATTTATAGCATTTAAATGTGTAGACTTTAATGTCCGTTCCGTTGAAACCAAAATCAAACAAAGCACTGTTGGCTCAGCTCTAGCCTTTTGTCATATCAGTAGTGGTTCAATTCAATGATCGAACATAATAGGGTATGGGGACACCTAACAGACTAGGAAGAAAATAAAAGAGTATGTGGACACCTAACAGAATAGGTAGAACATAACAGGGTATGGGGACACCTAACAGACTAGGTAGAACATAATAGGGTATGGGGACACCTAACAGACTAGGTAGAACATAATAGGGTATGGGGACACCTAACAGACTAGGTAGATCATAATAGGGTATGGGGACACCTAACAGACTAGGTAGAACATAATAGGGTATGGGGACACCTAACAGACTAGGTAGAACAGAATAGGGTATGGGGACACCTAACAGACTAGATAGAACAGCATATGGTATATGGACACCTAACAGACTAGGTAGAACATAACAGGGTATGGGGACACCTAACAGACTAGGTAGATCATAATAGGGTATAGAACAGCATATGGTATATGGACACCTAACATACTAGGTAGAACATAACAGGGTATGGGGACACCTAACAGACTGAGTAAAACATAATAGGGTATGGGGACACCTAACAGTCTAGGTAGATCATAATAGGGTATGGGGACCCCTAACAGACTAGGTAGAACATAATAGGGTATGCGGACACCTAACAGACTAGGTAGAACATAATAGGGTGTGGGGACACTTAACAGACTAGGTAGAACATAATACGGTGTGGGGACACCTATCAGACTAGGAAGAACATAACAGGGTATGGGAACACATAACAGTAGGGGTTCAATTCCATAAAAGGGTATGGGGACACCTAACAGACTAGGTAGATCATAATAGGGTATAGAACAGCATATGGTATATGGACACCTAACAGCCTAGGTAGAACATAACAGGGTGGGGGGACACCTAACAGACTAGGAAGAACATAATAGGGTGGGGGGACACCTAACAGACTAGGAAGAACATAACAGGGTATGTGGACACCTATCAGACTAGGTAGAACATAATAGGGTGTGGGGATACCTAACAGACTAGGTAGAACATAATAGGGGGTGGGGACACATAACAGACTAGGTAGAACATAATAGGGTTTGTGGACACCAAACAGACTAGGTAGAACATAACAGGGTATGGGGACACCTATCAGACTAGGTAGAACATAATAGGGTGTGGGGACACTTAACAGACTAGGTAGAACATAATACGGTGTGGGGACACCTATCAGACTAGGTAGAACATAATAGGGTGTGGGGACACATAACAGACTAGGTAGAACATAATAGGGTGGCGGGACACCTAACAGACTAGGTAGAACATATCAGGGTATGGGGACACCTAACAGACTAGGTAGAACATAACAGGGTGGGGGGACACCTAACAGACTAGTATGAACATAATAGGGTGGGGGGACACCTAACAGACTAGGTAGAACATAATAGGGTGTGGGGACACTTAACAGACTAGGTAGAACATAATACGGTGTGGGGACACCTATCAGACTAGGTAGAACATAATAGGGTGTGGGGACACTTAACAGACTAGGTAGAACATAATACGGTGTGGGGACACCTATCAGACTAGGAAGAACATAACAGGGTATGGGAACACATAACAGTAGTGGTTCAATTCCATAAAAGGGTATGGGGACACCTAACAGACTAGGTAGAACATAATAGGGTATGGGGACACCTAACAGACTAGGTAGAACAGCATAGGGTATATGGACACCTAACAGACTAGGTAGAACATAACAGGGTATGTGGACACCTAACAGACTAGGTAGAACATAATAGGGTTTGTGGACACCTAACAGACTGAGTAAAACATAATAGAGATGGGGACACCTAACAGACTAGGTAGAACAGCATAGGGTATATGGACACCTAACAGACTAGGTAACACCTAACAGACTAGGGAGAACATAACAGGGTATGTGGACACCTAACAGACTAGGTAGAACATGATAGGGGTTGTGGACACCTAACAGACTAGGTAGAACATAATAGGGTTTGTGGACACCTAACAGACTAACAGACTAGGTAGAACAGAATAGGGTATGGGTACACCTAACAGACTAGGTAGGACAGCATAGGGTATATGGACACCTAACAGACTAGGGAGAACATAATAGGGCGCAGGGACACCTAACAGACTAGACCTAACAGTCTAGGTAGAACATAATAGGGAGTAGGGACACCTAACAGACTAGGAAGAACATAACAGGGTATGGGGACACATAACAGACTAGGTAGATCATAATAGGGTATGGGGACACCTAACAGACAAGGTAGAACATAATAGGATATGGGGACACCTAACAGACTAGGTAGAACATAATAGGGTATGTGGACACCTAACAGACTAGGTAGATCATAATAGGGTATGGGGACGCCTAACAGACTAGGTAGAACATAATAGGGTATGGGGACACCTAACTGATTAGGTAGAACAGTAGAACATAATAAGGTATGGGACACCTAAACAGACAAGGTAGAACAGAATAGGGTATGGGTACACCTAACAGACTAGGTAGATCATAATAGGGTATGGGGACGCCTAACAGACTAGGTAGAACATAATAGGGTATGGTGACACCTAACAGACTAGGTAGATCATAATAGGGTATGGGGATACCTAACAGACTAGGTAGAACATAATAGGATATGGGGACACACAGGGTATGGGGACACCTAACAGACTAGGTAGAACAGCATAGGGTATATGGACACCTAACAGACTAGGTAGAACATAACAGGGTGGGGGGACACCTAACAGACTAGGTAGAACATAATAAGGTATGGGACACCTAAACAGACAAGGTAGAACAGAATAGGGTATGGGTACACCTAACAGACTAGGTAGAACATAACAGGATATGTGGACACCTAACAGACTAGGTAGAACATAATAGGGTGGGGGGACACCTAACAGACTAGATAGAACATAACAGGGTATGTGGACACCTATCAGACTAGGTAGAACATAATAGGGTGTGGGGACACCTAACAGACTAGGTAGAACATAATAGGGTATGGTGACACCTAACAGACTAGGTAGATCATAATAGGGTATGGGGACGCCTAACAGACTAGGTAGAACATAATAGGGTATGGTGACACCTAACAGACTAGGTAGATCATAATAGGGTATGGGGACGCCTAACAGACTAGGTAGAACATAATAGGGTATGGGTACACCTAACAGACTAGGTAGAACATAAAGGTAGATCATAATAGGGTATGGGGACACCTAACAGTCTAGGTAGAACATAATAGGGTATGGGGACACCTAACAGACAAGGTAGAACATAATAGGGTATGGGGACACCTAACAGTCTAGGTAGAACATAATAGGGTATGGGGACACCTAACAGACTAG